TTTAAGTTGTACCTTTCATAATTGAAGAACTAGTGATTGACTCCAGATCTGTCTGATTCCACTGCCTGTGTTTGAGGCAAACATGATAACCACTACACTTTGGAAATAAGATTCCAGTGTCCATATTAATTCTAATGAGATATATTGCCTCCCAGAGAGATGCCCCCGAAATATAAATGGAACAGAAGAATACCCTTTTTTCATCTTACAGAAATACATAATGCAGTTTTTATAATTGTGGCTTATATGTTAACCTGTTCTTTCAGATAAGTCTCTTCCCTGAAAGTATGTGTGTCTTTGAGAAAAAGAAAATGTGTTAGCTAATACAGGCATTGGTTGCTGAGTAAAGTTTTTGGCTCACTGTGTATATTTCTTGGGATTCCAATGGGAGAGATTCAGCTACCTAAATATCCTACAGTCTTGCTCCCCAGCCCCCAAATAAAAGTTAATTTGTCAAAAATGAGTCCCCTTTCCTTCTAGTTTTTGTGCTCTTGCCATCTCCATTACCTTCCCTTAAGGGGCCAGATATGGGAGCAGGGGGGAAGTCATACCATACCATGACCAAAACATAACTGTAAGGCTAGGTGAATAGTACAAGTGTATGACTGAAACTCAGAAAGTCAAAGAAGCAGTCCTTGGAGATGTAACAGAGAGAGCCCTTAGCTGTATGTTGATTCTAGAGAATCTAGTGTAAAGTCCATGGATTTTATATTCAGTGCCTAGTGGGTCCCAGTCTCAGTTTAGCTATTAATTAGTCCTGTGAATGTAAGCAAATTATATAACCTCTCTGAAACTCAGTTTGAAAATCTGTCAAATATAAGTAATAAGACAGTTCTGGGTTGTTGTGAGGATTCCCAGTAATACCTGTAAAGTTCCTAACACAGTGCTTGGCACATAATGTTGAGTCAGAAACTCAGATATAATTCAATGTTTTTAAAAAGTGATGCTAAGTCTAGATAGATATAGTGAACTAAATGTGCTCATCTCTTCTACCTTCTGTACCTCTCCCCCCTCAAAAATCACTAAAATGACACCAAAAGGGACCAAAACAAATAAATAGAAACAATAAACTAGCAGGGATAAGATACAGGCAAATATCACTGACTCAGCAGAGGGCTAACACGTTGTAATCTTAGCGCATTGAGGTGAAACCCATATGAAGCAAGCTGCTCTGTCCAGCAAAACCCTAGAATGCCTCAGGAAATAGGGGCACCAGGTGCTCTTAAAAGCAGGAGGAATGGTTGAAAATCTCCATGCACATCATTCTTAATTCAGATACTTACTGTATGCCCTAGCAGGACAGTGGCATAATAAAACCCGAGAATCTGGCCTCATAAAGAACAGGAACTAAAAACTGGGAGATTAAACCAGAATCCATTTTACAGTGAGCTTTTCACCCACACGCTCTTCACCCATATCCTACCAATGAGAAGATTGGGGAATTTTTTTTCTAGGCAAAAAGAGCAGCTTAAGAGAAAATGGTGATATATAGACCTGACATTTGGGAATTGCCACCACAACCATGAAAAAGCCACGTTTTTGCAGTTCTGTAAAGCCTCCCCCACATACACAGAATTTCCTACCAGCATTTTTGTGTCTGAGATTTTAGTATGCATGAACTGAAAAAGATGACCAAACATTGGAGGAACATCTTAAATGAGAAAATTACTGACTCAAACTACCCCCCCAAAAAAGAACTTTGAAAAAAACAGAGATAATGTGGAAATAGAAGGGCCCTTGCCCCCAATAACTATAATCAATGCATTCAAAAAGAAGAGAAAACAGAAAAGATGCAACAAAAATTCCCATTTTCAAACAGGGAGAATGATGAAATAAACAGCCATGATTGGCTCATAGCAGATACCAAGTATTGCTGGTATCCCTATGCCAAGAGTGGAACAGTTTCCTTGGTTAGTTGCTCATCCAGTCCATGATTCTGTTCTCCAGTAGAATCTACCTTGTCCTTTGTCCTACTATTGATAGTCAAGGTGTAATTTCACATTTTCTTTCTGGAATACAGTTTGAGGGCATGCATCAAAATATAAACAATGCTCAATCATCAACCTGCCACTACCAACCCGGAATATTTCATAAGGCCATAATTGTTCAAGTTCCCAAGATACATGCACAAAAATCAAGATTATAGTAAAAGGGAAATACTGTAGACATAAATATGTAAGTGGGACATGGTAAAATGTATATTAGGGTAATAAAAATAATAGCATAATTATACTTATATAGGAATAACAATACTGTTGTTCAAAAAGACTATGGTAGTTATAAACTTATTATATAAAATGTTTACATATAGCTGTACATTTACATACGCAGAGAGCCTGCCAGAAGGATGTTTGCCTAAATGCTATCATTTAGGTGATAGAACTCTGGGTGATTTTTCACTACATTTTACATTTTTCACAATCAGCATATGACACTTTTATAAAAATAATATATTTGTGTTTATATTGTTCTTGATTAGCTACTTGTGGATTATTCATTTTATAAATTAACTGTTTAAGAGTTAACTTCTCTCATGTCATTCAGCATCTGTCTAAATCCTCTCTCCTAATATTAATGAATATTTTTTCAGAAGATGATCTTATTCTAATGTTATTCTGAAAAGAACAAAATCGGAAGTATAGATTAGTCAAATTATTTTATTTATTTTTTAAGATTTTATTTATTTATTTGACAGAGAGAGAGACAGCGAGAGAGGGAACACCAGCAGGGGGAGTGGGAGAGGGAGAAGCAGTCTCCCCGCTGAGCAGGGAGCCCGATGCGGGGCTCAATCCCAGCACCCTGAGATCATGACCTGAGCCGAAGGCAGACACTTAACCAACTGAGTCACCGAGGCACCCCTGGTCAAATTCTTTTAAAGCCAAATGCAAGTGAGGCCTTACCTGACTTACAACTTGTAATAAGTAGCTTTTAGTTACTGGGTAACATCTACGCAATACTGAGGCCACGTTTAGCTAGTAGGTAATTATTACTGTTGATAATGAGTATACCAAAATGATTATTGCTGAAGTGATTCATGAGAGACCTGGCAGTTTACATAACTTCTCTAAGTCTCAGATCACTCATCCGAAACGAGGAAGAATATTGCCTGATTTAGCAGTTTGTTAGGAATTTAATGTGGTACAACTACATGTAAAGCTCTTTTAACAATGCCTGAAACCTTAAAAATGCCCCCAAAATGTTAGCTACTATGACCTATATGTATAAGAAAAGTCAGTAATCTAATTATGTTTTCTCAAGTAAATCGATGATTTTACTTAGAGTATTTTTTATGTAGGGTACTTCTTTCCAATGGTAATTTAGAGTTTATTCTTGTAGAAGAAAGTTCAAGAATAGTCTTCTATTATAGTGTATTGTCAGAATGAAGAAATAATGTTCAGGAATGAATTTTCTGAACACTGCATTGTCATTTTAGCTACGTACCCTCTTTAACTAACCTTGGACCACTGGAGAAACTTGGCCTACTTACAATTAATTACTCAATGATTCCCATTAGTCTGACTTATTAACGTAACAGTTCTTTTTAAGCAGAAATTATTAATGACTCTGAAAAGTTCGTTTCTTAGTTTAATTCTAATAGTTTTTATTGGTTTTCTATTTCGTTATGTTTACCCCTACCCACAAAGCCTAAATTGAATATTTTTGGTCTCATACGAGAATTGTATTTATCATTTCTAAATCTAATTATTTGCCTGGTATAACATTTTTAAACTTTTTCTCGTGTGTGTATTTTAAGTAGGATTAGGTATTTTTTTCTGATTCGATGACATTTATGTGTATCTAGACTTACAAAGAATACAAAATTAAAGTCTCAGTACAAAGCATATGGTAAGTCTACTGATTTGTCAGCTGCTTTTCACAAATTCATGAGGTACCAATAATTTCTCATAATCAAGTCATAATTTGTATCACAGTTTGGATTTTCTTTAATGAAAAGGCACATCATGTGATTTTTCTTGAAAAATAAAGGTAAAAATTAACATTATAAATAAAAATAGGAATAATAGATTCTCTTAACTAGACATGGCTATTTGGTCACTTACTCTTCATGTAGACTGCCTCCCTAAAAAATAGTTTAACTCAGAACAACTTTGAAAGACATAGATCCATTTTAAAATATTGGGTATTCAAATAAGTTCATATTTAAAGAAGGCTTCAAAATCAGAGAAAGCAGAGAAAATATTCTTCTTTGCCCTTTAGTAACTGAATGAGAAATCTGTGTAAAGAGGAATATATATTTTTTTGTTTTTGTTTCCTCATAAGAGCGCCATTCCAGAACAAGTATCTGGCTTCTCTGTGTTGAAGATATTGATGCTACAAAAGTTGAATTTTCTTAGAAAACTCTAAATTCCAAGTGCCCAATCCATGATAACTGGCTAATGGTTGTTATGTGCTTTTTTGCTAGCACATTGGAATAAAAGTAAATACATGAATTCTGTACATTGTAACATTAGCTATCACATAAATTCCTTTCACTGTTTTGATTTTTTTTCTGAATCTATGATAAAGTCTTAGAGTGAGAACAGTAATAAAACTTTCAGTCTCTTTAACATTGCTTTACTAGAAACACAAATAATATGTTATGATCGTTGTTCATCAAACAAATATCAGTTATTATCTGATTGCTTCTTTTGCTGTAAGCTAATAATTTTAGTGAGTAATTTTTCTAGATTTAATTTTGAATAAAGACATTTTATCATTTTCTGATTCATTTTCCAATTTGGAGTAGTTGTGCTTAAGTTAGATCTCATGTCATGTACTTTGCTGAGTTTGGGGCCACACAGAGATCTCTTGGCTGATTGGAAAAAGGTGAATTCAGTGGCTTTTTTTTCTTGTAAGTCTTCGTTTCAGCAATCTCCCCATTGTGTCCTCTAGTGACTACTTGAGTACAACCAGGCAAATGAATTCCCCCAGCTATACTCCTTGTTGATAGATTATTGGTCTCAGAGCCATAATCATAATCCATTTATCTTTCCTTGTAGCATCAGAGGCTCCTTGAAATGCTAGATACAGAGAAGGAACTATTGAAAGAAAAAATAAAGGAAGCTTTGGTTCAGCAATCTCAAGAACAGAAGGTAATACTTTAAGTTTGCTCAGAGTGTAGAAAGAATGTGTTCTATTACCTCAAATAATTTCCTCAGATAATACATTTACTGTCTACCCAACTGTCTTATCACTTACAGGAGATATTGGAAAAATGTTTGGAAGAAGAAAGGCAAAGAAATAAAGAGGCATTAGTATCTGCTACAAAGGTACTTCTATCTGAAATAATGGGTTTCTTTGTAAGTGGAATTTAAAAACTGACTTCATTAGTCAGTCTACTTTTTTGGTATTAAACCTCATTACAGAAAAATCAAAGGGTTTTTTTCTTCTTTTTCCTGTTAAACTTAGAATGCTGCTATACATATTGTTAAATTCGTGTTACACAGGAGTAGAATGACATTGAAATACTGCATATTTAGATTATTATTAAAAGAGAATATATGTTGGGACACTAACAAGTACTTGGTATTTAATAGGTATCATCACAAACAATGTGTATGTATATATATATTTACAAAAAGATGTGATTTTTAAAGCCAACTTTGAAATACCTCTTCTAAGTAGTGTATCCATAGATATTAAATATACATATGCCAACAAATACATAGCACTAACTTTTGAGATTTGGATTTAAATTTAGTAAGCAGATATTTTGAAAGTTTCATATTTGCACATCACCGTGCCAGGGGTGGAACTTAAAGGATGACTGTGATTTTGTCTTAAAGATTACAATCACGTAAGTATTACTTATTATCAATAAGGCAAGGTGGAATGCATAAAATTATGAGTATATAGATAGTACTTCTGTGCCAGGAGTTTTTAACAATAAATTACTTTTGAAATTAGCTTGAAGGGTGGCTAGTATTCTGAATTGTGAGTCTGAATTTTATTCCATAGGTGAGGGCAGACACGTTGAAATTTTTGAGTGTAGGTATGACATAATTATAATTTACATTAATTTGGGGGAAATTAGAGGCAAGAAAGGCTAGAGACAAGGAAAAAATTAATAGAGTGTGTCCAAAGTCTGTATAAAAGATAGTGAATGACAGAAGTAAAGTAGTAATAATAGTTTAAAGGAAAGAAATAGACAAATTCTAGAAATAGGAGATGGAATCAGCATATATTTTTGGTGTGGATAATACAGAAGGAGGCCAAGTTGGGAACCCCCAGAGTACTGCCTCAGAAACAACATGGAAAGTGGTACTATTTCTTTGGTAGAGTTTGAGGTGCCTGTGATATATTCAGATGACAAGACAAGTAGGCAACTAAATCAACTGGCAGCTCAGAGGAGAAAAGAATGACCTGAAGATGCTAATATGGTTTGTTTCTTTTTTTCAGCAGACAGATGGTAATGATAACCATGTAAATTATTGTTATGTATAATCACCTCACAAGAGAGTATAGAGTAACAAGTGGTACAAGGTCTGAGCCTTGAAAGAACTCCAAAATTTAAAATCCAGAGAAAGAAGGAAGTTACAAAGAACTGAAGAGAGTCAGTCATAAAAGTAGAAATAAAAGCAGCATGCTATTGTACAAACCAAGAAAAAGATAACAGAAATAGTCAACTATGTAGAAGGTCACTTTGAGGTCAAGAAAAATAGGGATTAAAACAAAACAAAACAAAAAACAAAAACATGTTATTTGGATTTAACAAAATGGAGAGCATTGGTAAGCATAATAAGAGAGTAGTTCCAGAGAACAATTGTAAAGTAAAACAGGGGTTCAGAAAATGGTAACTCACTTTGATAACTTGTCTCAAATATGGCTAACTGGAAGAAAGAGAAAAGTGTTAAGGGTGGGCATCAAAAGTGGGAGGATCATGGATTTTACTGCATCCTGAAGGATGATGGTTTTCTTGAGAGAAATTCTTGTGTTTGAGTTGCAACTGAAGTCGACAGTTTTCATGGAAAACCATTTTACTGAATAACAAGGGTTATGCAGACTTTAGTATTTGGCAGACATTTTCTCCAAAGTAAACAGAATGAGCCCAGCATCTCCAGAAAACTAACAGTTTTTGTTGCCAATGATAAGTTGAGCTTTAAAGCAAAATTAGAATTTTGGAAAATTTGTATCTGATTTCAGATACTTAAAGACTTTTCTGATGAGATTGATGGTGATATTAACAAATGTGACCTTCATTTTTGTTATGATATAATGAAATGTGTCAACATCTAGAGGAGATGCATAATTTACTGAATCAATATTTTCCAAATAAAAATGCTTTAAAAATTCATGCATAGATAAAGGACTCATTTAAAGTGCAAGAAAAGAAAATGTAGCAGAATACAAAAATTTCATTGCCACTATGTGATTTTCCTTATTGCGACTACCCTTTAAGAACTATCCTTTGTTAAGTTTTGGTATAGAATCACCAATATCTACAAAGATCCAAACTGGCTACAAGGTACTCCTCCCTTTTCTACTATGTATCTGTGTGAGACTGAGTTTTCTTTATGTACTTAAACCAAAAGTCATACTACAGATTTAAAACAGAAGGTAGATATGAGAACCTGGCTATCTTCTATTAAGTCAAATATTAAGGAGGTCCACAGATATTCTTCTCACTTCTTCACTTTGGAAAATATAGTTATTTTTCATAAAAGATATTACTCATTAATGTACAGTGCATTTAGTGTTAACATAAAATGAATTAATAAATATTTTTATTTTGTCTTGGTTTGAGTTTCTAATATGGTAATCATAATATGTATAACTGGCATAAACAAAAGCTTTTTAAAGTAATCCATAATTTTTAAGAATGTAAATAGATTCTAAGACCAAATAGTTTGAAAACTGCTAGTTTAAGTTAATGTTTAGTTTCTGTGAAGTTTAGATGTGCCTTGGAAATAATGTATGAATATCTGTACAAAAACAAATAATTGATTTAATTTTACACCAGTTATTAAGTATGCATAAAAACAACAGTGTCAGAACTAAACCCTATAGAATTCAAGTTTTGTACCTTTTAGGTTAACCCAAATCTTTCTTATTCAAGAACTTATGCAGGTACTCATTCAAATATTTTCATTTGAATCATTATTTGTTTTGAAGCTTGAGAAAGAAGCAATGAAGGATGCAGTTTTAAAAGCCATAGAAGAAGAAAGAAAAAATTTGGAAAAAGCCCATGCTGAAGAAAGAGAGTTATGGAAGACTGAGCATGCAAAAGATCAAGAAAAAGTATCTCAGGCAATTCTAAAAGCTATACAAGAACAAAGAAAAATAAGTCAGGTTAGTAAAATTAACTCTTTGTAAGTACTTTCTTTTTCCTTATTTTTTCTCAAAATGAAGTTTCTTTATTATTTGATTTTAAAATCACCTTAGTGGACATATCAATATTAATTATTTTGCCTTTAATAATAATATTTTAAACTAATAATTTTTAACATATCAGTGTACTTCTACTATAATTTTATCTTTTTATCATTTTTTAAAAAGTCAGAATCCAAACTTATGTTTAGTTATTGCGGCTATATAAACTTCCGGTTTAATTTTTTTTTTCTTTTTTCACAAATACATACATACATAATCAATACAAAATAAATATATATAGGTAGAAAACAGTTTGATTCTGTTAATTATGTCTAATTTATATATCTGTATATCTGTAGTTGATACTGATAATTAATAGGACCTCACAGATAATCCCCGTGGTTTCATAAAAGGTATAACATATCAGCAAGTATGGCCTACATACAAAATAACTTTTGTCTACTTATCTGAACAATTAAAAACTATAGTACTTTCACTTTCCATAATTGCATTTTCATGGCTCTATTTTCCATGTTTTTAGTCTTTTTGTTACATAGGTAGTGAGATACCTGAATAAATCTTCCCTTAAACAAGTATAAAAAGCAAAAAATAACATTTATAGAAGTCTTTGTTTTCCATGATCAAAGTGTTACATATGCTACCATTGTTTATTCAACCATGCATTATAAATATAGCTAAAACAACTAACATTTACCAAACAACCTAGAAGATTTTCGTGTAATTCGTTAGCTAATCTTAATGAAGCCCTAAAAAAATCAGTGCTTTTAATATCCAGGATAAATATTATACATTTTTAAAAAAATGTCACTTAAATTTATTCTTGAGCACATGGTTACCCATTTGTTATAAAAATTAAACATATCTTTAGGTAGTTTTTGTGGTAAGAAAACAGTAGTGTAGTGACAGATCTTATTCTTTTATTTCTTTCTTTTTTCTATTAGAGTAATGATTACTTTCTAATTCTTCTGTTGTTAGTATCATCAAATACATATTGAGCACGTATTGTATATAAGATGTTTAATTGTCAGTTCGGTTGGTTGGAATTCTGTGCTAGTAAGGTCAAGATTGTTGGTTAAGTTCTGATTTGGGAGAGTTTACTTAAAACTTTTTGTGACCACAGACCACTCCTCTAACCTCACATAGATGTGGGCTATTAGTCACCATGAAATTGGGCAAGAGTGCATGAATAAATCAGCACACGTTCATCACTCAAACAGAAAAGTATGTATCATAAAGGGCATACTTCTCTGCTGGTTTGTCAGGAGCATTCTTGTCTACAGAAAACACTACAATATATGATATACTTTAACATTTGTTTGCCACAGTTTCAGAGTACTGTGAAGATAATCCAAGCATGTCATGAATAAATGCATTGTATTTATTTTCTTTCAAGTGTTTGCATATTTTAGGTGCATGTGAGAAAGAGAGTATGTGGGTGTGGTATGTGTGTATATGTGTGTTTAACTGCTTTGTGGCTAAGAGAATTGAACAGAGAACATATATAGCAGAAAAAAATGTTTCCAGTTAACTCTCAGGTTTTCAAATGTGAGGTGGTAATGTCAAATGTATTCTGTCTTCTTAAATAGCTGCTTTCATTTTCATGTACTTGTAGTAAGAAACTACAACCAAACAGTTGTCACTCCATTAGCCCCTTAGAGCTTCAGGGTTCTAGTCTAGAAAACTGACAAGTTACTTCTCTTGGGAGCCATATGAAGTTCGTATATCTTTTGTTTATTTAGGCCAGTAGGGCAAGCAAACAAATTGACCTGGTCAAACTTACTCTTCAGTGTTTCACATTAATAATTGAAGTGACTGCCTGCCACGTTCCAGGGGCTGTACTTATTTCTGGGGATAAAGTAGTAAGAAAAAACAACAACTTTCCTGCCTTCTTGTGAAGAAGACTGTATTAAAGGCATAACATAATGTGAAATAGTGATCAGTGTCATGAATTAAAATGAAGCTGTGTAAGGTCTGGAGAGTCAAGGAACCAATATATAAATAGGATAGTTAGGTAAGGACTCTAAGGAGTCAGCATTTGAGCTGAGGCCTGCATTGAGGTGAGGAGTTTACTTTGTGAATAGTTGGGGAAAGAAAGTTTCAGGCATAAATTAACAATTACTGAGGATCTGCAGTGCGCCGGCTGTTGTTAGGCATTTTTTTTAAGACTTTATTTTTTTAGAAAGGGGGGAAATTGGAGGGGGAGACGAACCATGAGAGACTATGGACTCTGAGAAACAAACTGAGGATTCTAGAGGGAAGGGGGGTGGGGGATGGGTTAGCCGGGTGATGGGTATTAAAGAGGGCACGTACTGAATGGAGCACTGGGTGTTACACACAGACAATGAATCATGGAACACTACATCAAAAACTAATGATGTAATGTATGGTGATTAACATAACATAATAAAAAAAAGAGGAATAAAAAAAAAAAAGTAGTAGCCTCACAACCATGGTAGCTATGAAAACCAGCAATGTAGAAGCCACTAGAGTGGGCAGACTAAATTTGGAGTTCCACAAAAAAAAAACCTATCTACAGGGAGTTATTACTGTTTGACCTATCTGGTAGCTTCCCAGAAAGTCCCCATTTGCTTAGAGCTTACTTAGTGGGAAAGCCTTATCCTCATGTTTGTCAAAAACAATAAGTGGCAATTGTTTAACCTCTGCCTAAGACAGAAATACCACTTGGTCAAACAAGAGCCTGGCCAAAAAACTTAAAAGGGAAATTTGGGAAATGTCATTATTATAGGTGGCTTGGAAAAACTGACTTTTAAAAATAATCCTGGATTTCTTGAAGGTCATACATATGCACAAGGTTGTGCACCTGCCCAGGAAAGACCTGAGAAGACCCTAATCTCTCACCACTGACTGATTTTGATTGTATTCAACAAAAAGTGAAGGCTAAGGCAGAGTTATAAACTGGCAGTATTAAAGGTGTTACCCAGCACACCACTCCCTTGGCAAATGATAGATCACTTATCTAATTCAAGGTATTTAAGGAATTCACTGTCTAATTATTTGCTGACCACTGAGCTAATCCAGCAGAGACCTCAGTGGCTATACATGACAAAGAATACAGACTTTGCAGAATTAGGTCAGAAAAGTTTCTAGACAGATAACAGCAATAACAATGACTCCTGGGAGCTGAAGGAGATCTGATTTCTAGAGTTACTATATTATATTATTTTAATGTCCATTTTTATCAACAATAACAGATATGCAAAGAAACAGGAAGGTATGGCTCAAGTACAGGAAAACCAAAGCAGTCAATGGAAGATACATTGATGTTGGACCTAACAAGGACAAATCTGCCGTTATAAATATGTTAAAAGAATTAAAGGAGATCATTTCTCAAGATTTATAAGCCTCCTCATCTTATACATTATGTGTATGGAAGCTCTTCAGAAACTAGCACTAGAAATTATTGGACCGCTCTGTTTTTAAAAGTGCTCCTTTTTGCTGTAAATCAAGATTGCAGATATGTGGGTGTACACTTATTTTCCTTCCTGCTATTACCTATACCCAGAGAGTACTTGTCATTTATTGGAGGGGAAAAGTCCCTAACCTCCTATCTTGCAGTTTATAATTCTCTTACTCCATATATCAAATTCAAATACCTACTTATTTGACTGACCCTCCCACTGAATTGAGGACTTCATAAGTGTCTCAATCATATTTATGCTCTGGAGGCCCTAGCCTAATATGTGGCTTATAGAATGTGTTCCAGAAAACTAATCATTGTCCTTAAATGTCAGGATCCAAAATATCATACAATTAACTCAGAAAGATGACTTATAAGACTTAATTGTATTCATCCAAAATTCTCAAGTAAATATATAGATATCATTTCATTAATTAATCACATTAATTCCATAGAAAGGCAAATTGGAAAAAGCAATTAAGTACTACAGTTTGGTCTGTAAAAAATTCCTTTAAGTTAATTAATTATCCTAAATTACCTAAGTTGCAGCACCAGAAATATAATTTATAAATAGACTTTACCCCTAGACTACTAGTGCTAGGAACGTGAAATTTTGCCTCTTGAGCTTGTTCATACCCTTAAAATCACAGGATTTTAACTGTGAGTTTCAGATTTATATGTAATGTCCTTGTTACTACTTTTAGGAAAACACCTGGAATATTAGACAGAAAACAGTAAGAGTTCTCTATGTTTAAGGGGAACTTACCTGGCTTTATTCTCTACAGATATTTTAGGCTGCTAGCTAAAAACCTGTTTTTATGGAAGTTTTTCTTCCATAATAGTCATAGTAACATACTGGTGGTGGTAGCAGTGGTGGGGACTGCAATAACTCTAACAGTACTGTGTCATTAATTCACTTCTAAGTCCCAGGCAGTTTTCTCCTGGTTTTTTCACGTGTGATCTCATGTAATACTCACAAGAGGCAGAAACGATTATCTCCATTTTTACAGATGCAGAAATTAAAGCTTAGGAAGATTATGTAACTTCCTCAAGTCCATAGTAACCCCTTAGAAGAGACAACGGGCTGTATTCAAATCAGACAGCGTTACTGCGGAGGCCTTGCAACTCACTCCTACACTGTTCGCCCTCCCAGTGTTCTCATCTTAGAATAAACCACACACTCATCTCAGTGATCATTCAGTGTGTAGGTAATTTCAGTAGCAAAAACTCAAAGGGGCTGTTTTCATTTCCTTATTTATTCAGTAATATTTATTGAGTATCTACCATGCATCAGCCCTGTTGGAAGTTCTGGGCATATAGCACCAAAGAAGATAGACAAAGTCCCTAGGCACTCATGGAATTTACATTCAAGTTGAAAAAAACTTAGAGTGAATAAGGCAGTTCCATATAGTGATATGAGCTGTGGAAAGGGTTATGTGTTTGACTGAGAATGGGTGGTAGAGATTTTCTTTAGATAAGGAAATTAGGGAAGAAGCCAGACTCAGAAAATTTACATGTTACGATTCTACTTGTATGAAAT